AATAACTAACTCTGCTTGGAAGGAAGCAGATGAAGGACTTAAACATATTCCCTGCTTGAGAAATCCTGAGTATTTCTACAGAAGCTCTCAACAGTGTACCTATAATGACAATTGTCCAAATAAAATGTATTTAATTTTGTAAGCACTGGCACAGTCAATCCGTAGCAGACTATGAAACTGTTTCTTTTGTAGAAGGAGCTGTTGCCCATTTGTTACCTATGTATCTGAGGAATAAGGAGTCATACCCAGTATAACATTAGTCATGAATTTGTCCAGATGCTCAAGCCTACCCTGGCTTGTCTTAGCTCCAAACCTCATGTCTACCCAGTTGCCTACCCACGACCGGGAACTAACCGCCTGTGTTGAACAGTCATGCAAGTCTCCCTGCTCAACTCCTGCAAATCTACTCCAAACCAGCACGCAGAACACTGGCGTAGTCAGTCTTTTACCAGGGCAGAGGAAAACATGGTAATTTTTGTGACTCACGTGATGAGTTCCTTTTTGAGATCTCTTGAATGGAGCTTGGGTTTAGGACTTGGTATGGAGACATCTCCTGGATATTTCTTTTCCTCCATGTTTTCTGGAGAGCTCACTGCATCTTTCTGAAATATTAGATGAGAATATGACAAAAGGTTTCTCTCTTCAAGGCCTCCCATATACTTAACAAATAATTTGCTGTGGCAAGAAGAGAACCTCTTAGAAAACATTAAATAAAACAGTCTTAAGAAATGATGGAGAGTGATGAAGGAAGTTTAGTACATGATAGTTTCAGGTTCTCATAGGTAGACTTTTAAAAATGTTGCAAAAGTATTTCTGAAGGCAGATGCTGGTTTAAGCTGTACACAGGGAAAATTCAGTTTTGCTTTATAATATGGTGATAAAGGCCAAAGAAAAATACACAGGGAAAATAAAAGTAGTAGTTGAATGTCTAGAGCCAAACAAGACTTCGGCAAGTATGTTCTTGCTTTTTTCTGTGCAAGTACATCACTGAGTTCTGTATACAGTTGAAGTGGGTACTATTGTACTGTGAAATACAAAATTGCAATCATAGATTAAAAAAACTGTTTTACATAAACGTAAATGTAAGTAAATGCAGAGCTTTTAAGGTCTGTAGAATGGAATGACTTGTTATCTTATTCAAAAAGCAGATTCTTGTTAAAATAAAAATCATGAGAACAACTGCTTTGAAATTTTCTTAGTAGCAGGCTGCTAAGGTTAGTTCTTGATTTCTGCTATTTGTAGATTAAAATCATCACTGCTATAGTGTTGTTTGATGGACGGTATGGACCATGAGCATGCACTCCCTTGGGAACGTAATTTGGAAATTTGGAGTCCTGAAAGGAAATTACACTTTTGTTTTCTGAAAAATCTTCTTTGATCACTTCAAAATAGCTTGGCTTATACTGTTTTGAGAATTAATGCCTTCAATTATTATTATTTTTGTGAAAGATAAGTATTTCCTTTCCGGAGGGATGCTCTGTGGATGTTGTATCATTCAACAATTCTCCAAAGCCCACAGCATCAATTATCAAATCTCTATTAATCCCTTCTGGGACTTCCTGTTGGTTTTTGTGACTCCATTCCAATATTCAGGTGGGTATCACCTAGAGATTACCGTCTGTAGGAGCAGAAACTGCTGCCCATGGTTGAGAGGAGAAGCTCCCCGCTCCTGCTAAACTCACGGGGCTGGTGCCATAGATGCTCTGAGTTTGTGCAGCTGACGAACGTGCCAGGACAGAGGGGCAGGGATGTCTGCAGAGCTGTTAACGCAGAGCGCAGGGCTGAGGAGAATCTGGACTGAAAATGGAGATTCTGCCTAACGGGACTTGTAAGCTCTGCGGGGGTGTTTCTTCTGATAAAGCTTCCATATGGTCCTCAATTCTGGCAGTTCATCTTTGCCTGTTTGGAGACTGGATCCTCAATATGACTTCCTTCTGCTTTCTGGTATTGGCTACCTACTGCCTACTGCAACTCACGCTACACATACGTATAAGAAACCATGCCATATTATTGCTATATCAATTACTACTGATTTTTGCAACCACATTTGTGGGGTTAGTTTGTTTGGGAATAATCTAATCTGCTACAAATATCGAAAGCAAAAATACATATATTCAGCTTTTCTAAACACTCAAAAAATATTGAGTAATTATTTGAAATAAAAAACCCCTCCTGATATATTTCAGGCTCTTAGAATTTTGTTTCTAAAGGAAAATTTGAGATAAGGAGTAATAGAGAAAATTAAAAGCAATGAAAGTTATTGTTAAAATGTTAGTACAGAGATAATAAATAATTCAAGGTCTTCCAAACATGCAAATTAAAATGATAAAAACTAAAGGTGGAAAAATAGATGTCAGCTTTGTTCAAGATTCAAGAAACATCAAAGACTGTTTTCCAACATTGAGTTAAATCCTGGCTGCAGAGGCGTATGGGGGGTGGTTTTGCCACTGCAATCTGCAGAATGGGGACTTGAGTTCCTGACCCTCCGTCCACGAGTTCTGACCTGCCTTTCTTATATATGTGTAAATACAACCTCCTACAGGGATCATCAGCAGTGTAAGTCACTGTAAAATCAAAAGCTCCCAAAAGAAACAACAAAATGGTGACCCTCTGTTGCCAGCTGGAAGGGATCAGATGTCAAAATAACTTCAAAAAACACAGGTAAAATGGTTTCCACTTATGTAACGTGGGTTGAAGAAGGCTGGCTTATCAATTTCCTCTCTAAGAACTAACTCTGACGGGCTACATCTGCATCACTGAACTGAGGACCAGTGCTATGCTACTAAAAATTTAGTGCATGCCTTGGCTGGATCCTGACTATGTATCAAGACCAGGCAGACATCAGCCTCTCCCACTTCTCATCAAAGGTACAACTGAGAGGAGCCTGGAGTAGAGGGTGGTGGAAAGACCACTCTGGCACTCCCCTGGATCAGACCTGTGCGAGTTATTCATCTTGTCACTGTCTGATGTGTGCTGCACAGAGAAGACTGATCAAGAATTATGTATATCAAGGCTTGACAAAATACTACAGTATTGCAGTTTGCAGTTTCATTTAATGATGTTTCACTGAATCATTTAACAAAAATAAGATTGCAAGATGAAGGTTGACATGATTACATCTACAGCCACCAGTATAACTGATACTAGAGGGTTTAGAATTGCAGTATTTTCATTTTGTACCTTTGAAATAATTAAATTTTTTTCAAATTTTAATTGTGCATTTCCTGAATTGACTTACTAAGATCTGTAATTTTTTTAAACCAATAGCTATACACACACATACATACACAAACATCTACAATTTCGTAGTAACTGCTCTTTTGAAAAAGAAAAAATCTAATAAGGGCCAAAGTGGGAATACTGTTTGTTTCCTAGTTAGCATCCCATAGTATATTTCCCAGGAATGAGGGAAACGTATAGGCATTTAAACAGGTGATTTCTTCAGCATTATCTTAGCACATTGTGGAAGACTTGGTATTGTTCAAGCAGCATGAAATCTTCAGATGTGTAGAAGTTGCAAAAGGAAGACAGTGCAAAGGGAATGTAGGCAAAGGAATACCGAAACTCTGCCTTTCTAGGACCGTACACTGGTACGTGTGGCCCAAAAGGGGTTGCGTCTGTCTGAAATGAGTAGGTCAGACCTAAAGATCAAATATGTTTTGGTCCTCTACACTTAGAACTGAGCATAGAGCATCATACCTTGGCTTGTGTGCTTCTCCAGCAATTTAGCTTTAGAGGTAGAGATAATCCTTTGGGAAAACACCTTTAACGCTTCCCAATTTTTGGTCTGTTAGGTGATGATCATCACAGCTAGTCAAGTTCAACCATATGTATAATTTTCCTTTCCCATTTGAAAGGATTTATAATTAAATGTTATTAAAATTCTGAAGAATTCCAGACTAAAAGAAAAATCAGAACCAGCCCAGTCGATCCAAACACTACTATTTTCTGCAAAGAGCATGTGTGTATTCATGCATGCACACTACAGAAAGAAAGCAAGCAATGAAACTCTATTAATGTACAGATGGAAGTTTATATTGATTTCAGCAAAGACCAGAACATAATGGTAACATGAATAACAGATAATAGCATCTGGCACTTTTAACATTTTTAAGCCCTGAAATCTTTGGAGAACTGACAGTTGAACTAACTGACAGCTCTAGTTATTTCTCGGCGCTTTCCTTTTGGAGAGATTTTGAGCTTTTTCCAAATTCAGAATTTTTTTTTTTAAGGGGGCATCTGGACAGGCTATTTTGCTGAGAGAGAGAGAGACAATATTTTCTGGAAATTACCACCAAAATTAAGCAACTGTTGTGCATATGAACCAGATAACAATGAATTAGAAATAGATATAATCAGTCATTTTCTTTGCATGAGAATAACTGCCAGTCTTCGATTTGAAAACAGAGCCTCTGGCCCTAAGATCACTGGACATGTCAACGCTCCCTGGGATGGCAAAAGCTCACAGCAGAGGTCTGGGGCCAGGTCCTCGATTAAGGACAAACTGCACCATGTCACATCACCGAGTGCAAGGGGCAAGAGTGCCTGAACGGGGCCCTTCATGTTCTGTCGGGTAGTCCACTGATGCCTCCAGTTCCCTGTACTGGTAAGGGACAGGGAAACAGCCAGTCACCCATCACGGCCTTCCAAAAGTCGAGTAGGGATTGAGGGGGACGAAGAGGTGCTCCTGCCATGGCTTTTTTGCTGAGCTGCGGTGGCAGCAGGGAGGAGGAGCCGCAGAACAGGTCCCCTGCCAAGTCTGCGACAGGGATTGATCCCCTGCAGCAAGGCGGTTCTCTCAAAGCTGGATGTGCTTGCTCATTATGCGGCATGAATGGGGAAGAGCCTGAGCCCTCAGCCTAGTGCCTCGTGTCAAACCCACTCCAAAACCCTGACGCAGGGATCGTGCTCTCATCACTGAGATAAGGAGAGTCATCAGCCCCACAGAGGTGACCGCAAAGGGCTCTTCAAGACAACCCAGCCTCCAAGAAATGATGCTCCGAGGTGCAAGCTGTTTTAGCAGTCACGTTACGACAGCCTACCCAGTGCTGACAGATTTTTTTTTTTTCTTCACCGGACTGAATTATCTTTTATTTCCAGGTATTTTTGGAGTTGGGAGGCCTGGATCCCATCACCTCTGCCCTAAATAGATTTAGCCCTCTCTATGTCTTCTTGAAGTGCCAGTTTTGATATTTGAACAAAACATAATTTTGTAATAAATATGAAGTTCAAACACTATTATTTGATATATAAAACTAACTAGGGAGGAAAAGTGCCTGAAGCTGCACAAAACCTCCAAATCGGAACATCTTTTAGTCTGTTTCAGAAAGCTATCACTTAGGCTTGTCGATATGAATTATAAAGATTTTATCTAACTATCCTTCAAAGGTGCTGGTGGTCCCTTCCTGATTTAAGAAAAATGCAAGCAATCCATATTCTGACAGCCAGGCTCAAGAGATAAAAATAAAACCAAACAACAAAATAGAAGAATAAGAAAGAATGAACTCAGGAGACTATACTGCCTTGTTGCCAAGATAGGATAAACAGATATGAAAGAGCAAAACAGAAACAAAACCAAAATCAAGACAACTATCAAGTTTGAAGTAACAGTCTAGAAGATCAGCCATAAAAGTTGGAAAGTTACTAAATAAAAGTATTTGCTAAAATTTTAGTTGCTCATCTTTGTTCCTGCAACTGCATTTTCAAGTTTGGGCTTTTACATTTCCTAGGAAAGGTTGAAAAGGGAAGACGTATCTGCATACGCATCTAGTTTTTCTATGCTGATTCTTTATTAGATAAAAAATATCACAATTGGTGGAAATTATGTACATACCCTCTTGTGCTACTTATTGTAATCAAAACTTTCAGGAATTCCTAAGAAATTTGTATTTCTGAATTTGTGCTCTCAGACTGTCTTCTGGACCACTGGACTCACTAGTGAGATCTAAGACTCACTGGCAGAGATTTCTTGAAGTGTGTTAAATGTAAAATAAAAGGTTTTCCACTGAAAAAATATTGCAGGCAAGGTTCTAAGCATGTGTTTAAATGCTTAGATAATGAGTTATCTAGGATTATAAAGAGTTGGTGTGGAAAAATTACTTTTTGTTTCAGCATGAAAACAACTGCCTTAGTTTGGTTTTGTGGTGGTTTTTTTTGTTGTTGTTTTGTGTTTGTTTGTTTGGTTTTTTTCCCCTGAGTGATCCCTAGGCCATTTGGGTGTATGTGCTACAGGATTGAGCCATTAGGAACAAAATTTAAAAAACAGTCTCTAATGGTGGATACCTTTGATTTCCTTATCTTAGAGACTTATTCACCAGTAGGCTCTGAGAGCAAGATTTTTCAAAGTGAATAGTGATTTTTTATGCCACATCCCAGAGAGCATTCAAGCCAGATCAATGTTCACAAACCTCTGGAAACTGATTGCCTTTAAAATGCACTAGATTGGTCATCCCAAAGACCATCATATGGCCACTCATCCAAGGGAAAAATTCACTCAGAAACTGAAAAAATACCTCTTTTTCTTCTTCTTTCCTGCCATGGGTCTTGCTGTAGTTGATTGGTGTATCCCAGCCTTCCTGTTCACAAAGAGCCTGGTAGAAGGCTGCATTTACCAGGATGCTGCTTGTTTTGAAAGGAGAAGAGGAAGGAGTAGGAAGTGCTGTGCTGGAAGAAGTGAGAGGCATAACTTTGTCTTGGCCTCGGTTCTTTTTCATGCTCAAATCCAGAGTGCCGTTTTCATCCACTTCTATCTCAGCTCCCTGACATGCAACGGGAAACAGAGACATGTTTAGATATGGACATGGTGAGGCTGCAACATAACCATGTGGTGCTTTTAAAGGATAAATATAAATGCACGCTTTTATTTAAATTTATCTGAATCTAAAACCAGCTTTTCGATTTATATCAGTTAATGTCCAACTCTTAGGCAGACTTAAGAGTAGCTTCAGTAATGGTATCCCTGCATCTCAGCTTAAACATAGTAAGTAGAATTTAAATAAGATGCTTCTAAACCATAACCTATACAGCCTAAATCTAGTTTTATTTAAAAAAAGTTTAGCTTTAAATCTTCTTGATCTTTTCACTCTTACAGAGAACTATGACCCCAATTCACAGTTAAAAGCATTAATGCATTGTTTAGGTCATCAACAGCATTACTATTACATATCATCCCTTCCCCCCACACCCCAGAAACATTACAACATCTGCATCAAGGGGGAAGGAAGGAGGGGGGAAGAAATATGCCTAAAAGTGGCACAGCAGGAGAAATTTTCACTAGGGTTTTGTACGTCACTCAAAATAACATATCACCTTAATCATAGTTTGACTAGACCACTAAGGCACAGGTCTGCACTGACACCACTAGACTGGGAGCCACAGGAGGATCTTCAGGAGGTTCTCCCTGATGGAGACCTTCAGCATGAGTTAACAAAGCCTTTGCTACTAGGAAGTACAGCAAAGAGCTGTCTCTTAGTGCAGGGGCATGTGCAGTTTGGAGAGAGACCCAACTTCTCCTAGGCTGGAAGAAGCTCTCAAGAAGGGGCAACGGCTGCTCAACTGTGCAAGAACCAGGTGAGGAAAGCTCACTGTTCTGCCTTACCCTGCCTGATCACAGAAAAAGAGTACAAACTCCTCTTCTTGGAATCATAAAAAGCTCCAGGAAGGGCAACTTACTAATGGAAGCAACAAAAAATTTCCCCTCATGCTCAATATGTAACACTGCACATCGACATATTGCGTATATTGGGATGAGTATAAGACTAGTCCTTGCTATTGCCAACAATTACTGAGGTCAAGCAGGGAAAGAGGTGAAAGAGGTGGCTTCTGGAGGAGCGCTTGGTAGTCTAGTTCTGTGAGTTGCCCTGAATAAGGCGGAAACCATTCAAAGACTAGAGAGATAAATGACGACGTCATAGATCTACACATGCAGAATGCTGTAATTAACACTACTCTTTGTCTTCCTGTTATTGTCATCACTACTGTTTTTTATTTGTGTCACCACAAAGCTCAGGTACCACTTGGGAATTTGGGGCTAGATATGTTAGGTGCTGTATAACTGTAGGAGGCAGTCATACAAACCCAGAATGAGACCTCCTACCTTGAGTAATATAAAAGTAAACCTGGAGTGTAAGCGAATCACCTGAATGCTCTGTGGTAAATTGCAGAGACAAGTATGTCCAAGGGACAAGTTTTTCCACCTTTCTTGGACCTCTTTCTTAGGAAGAGATGAGACACTGGCAGAAAGATTCCCTTTCTCTTTCTTCTCATTAACTATTGCTGGAGCTTGATAATTAGTCAACAATTTAGTCATTAAAGATAGGGCAGTGAAACTTATCCTTGCTTGAGGATCTTAAAAACCATTGTGGTGAAACAGGAAATTCTTTCCATGTGCTGAAAACGTGACATGGCCACCCCGGTCGGACTGAAGGCACAAGCTTCCTTCACACAGCCTTGTCTTCTACCACTGCCAGTGGTCATTCATCTAAAGGTAAAATGTGTCTGATGAAATCTTTTTAATCAGAAGGATAACGTTGGTCAAAGATGAAAATTTAGGGCCCAACAATCTCTCCTCACTCAGACAGCCTGACTCCAATTTGGGTCCGTGGGCCTGAGCCAGATGCCCACCTAGGCTGCGGCACTACCAAGCCATCTGCTTGCCCCTGGTTCAGAAACTCAGGCACCTCTTATCTTTGCTCCTCCTGCATAGCAAAGTTCACGTTTTCAATCATACAGCTTAAAGAGAGAGATGTTTTATTATATTTATGGGAAGTAAATACACTTCTAATATGTTCATACTAAGACGCTTTGGTTATATCTTTCTGCCCCTTTTTAGTAAATAGTTTAATCTCCTGTGATAGTTTTAAGCCCTGAATTTGACAGTGCAGCTTATCCTGGATAATAACTTAGTAACCACAACATCTTATGCCATCTGTATAATATCAAATACATTTTTATACCAGCATTAATAAACCTTAGTTATGAAAATCCAAGATATTAACTATATCAGTGCCAAGTGCACACTCCAGGATCTGACAATATAGCTCTGCCGTGATCGCCCCAGTGTTTTTTGGCTTCATAGTTGATATGTAACTATAGCAATGAAACAGAGCTACAGTAATCAAGTTTAATGACCAATGTAAAGTAAAATGCTAAATATTGTAGTTGCTGACATTTTTCATAATAAAAAAACTTGGGTTAAGTCTGCACAACCAACATTCACATAAAATTCCAGACCTCTGTGACAGATGGCTTAGGAAAGGAAGCCATGTGACTGGGCTGCAGTAGTTTTATAGTGCAAAACCCATAAATAGTGCAGATTCTCTGTCACTGACAAAATATCAACTACTCAGAAGGCAACAACGACAACAAAAAGGACCAAAACCAATCAAGGTCCCCTCCTCGATCAAACTGGACATAGAAAAATATCAGGAAATGTGTTGTCTCTGAGAAATAGATGCCATTAGCCACCACAAAGAGCTCTGGCTGACAAGCAGAACATTTACCAATGTGGATATTTAAAGCTTCCTCAGCACTTTCCTGAAATTCACATAGAAGTTGGGTTGTCCAACACGTACCTAATTCTGATCAGGGAAGGCTGGGTTGTGTGTTTGTGAAGTAGCGTACAGATGGGGTTTAAGTGAGCTCACAGATGCACACAACAATTAAATATAGTCAGGGAAAAAATATCCCCTTTTGCCCATCACAGGATGGATCACACGTTTACAGCATGGCTTTTTATTCAGAACAGTATAAAAGAGCTATCACTTTGTTGTCTTCATAGCAAACTCCAAATGGCAGGGTAAAAAAGAGAGGACAGTCAGAAATACTGCTCCAGTTTTCATTCCTACTCTCATCCCACCCTCCTCTCAATATGTCCCCTTTGCTTGTTTTACCACGTTTATTTTTACATTAATTTTAAAATGGAACTAAAAAGACAAAAATGGCAAATGGCAAGAAAAGCTGGAGCAGTGCTATGACATGCTGACAGAAAATGGCACTTACTATGCTTAGCTCAGACATGTAAAGGCTGTGTTCTCCTCAGTGGAGGCAAGATCTTATTACTGTCGACTCTAGTGTATGTGTGAACAGGCCTATATTTATCCATTTATCATGACATATTTAAAATATAGCTATCAAAACAATGTAAACTGTTCTGATTCTTCCTTTAAAATGTAAGCAAAATAAAGATGCAAATGTATCTTATTACTTCCTAACTTATATTAGTTTGCAGCTGTGTAAATCTTTGGAGCCTGATTTTGATCTTATTTACATTTACATTTAGCCTGGTGTAAACCGTGAAAAAATCCGCTAAAGCAATGAAGAAAAAAATCAATGAAGGTGAGAGGATCCACACAACAATTAAATTCAGGTTACGCCTTGTCTCCTTCTACGTCAGTGGCAGTGTAATCACCCCGACAGGTTTTACAAGCAGCTGGGAAAAGGATTCCAGAATGAAAAATGAGAGAAAAATGACTGAAGGATATTTTCTTTATCCCAGGGTCTGTTCAGTGAAAAGATAAGGTACAAGGAGTACTCTGAATATCTGTCTAAAATAAAGGCTAATATAAATATGTAAACCGAAAAATGGTCTCTGTCCTCTTCAAGTGCTTTGTACTTTAAAGTAAAGCTTTTTCAGCCTCCTTTACTTTATGACATAAATATTACAGAATATTTTCCAGCACATCATTAAGTCTTATCCTTAGAACTGAACTACATCAGCTAGGACAACAAAGGATGTTGTTTTTTGTGACAAATTACTCCTTCATTTTTTCATATGCTTTTGGTCCATCTGATCACTCACAACATTTAATACTCCGCAGTGTGTCTCCAGTAACGATTACAAGTTAAGCTTTATCTCATAGCTGGATCAGAAAGAGCGAATTATTGTGTCTGCATGAATCTTATTTCCAACCTGTGACCTTAGGGAGATTGCATCATTACATATAAGGGGTTTTATGTATTCTTTGGTTGGCATCAGCCGTGCAACTTAATACTAAAGTAAGTCCAAAGAAACAACATTATCAATGATTTTGCATTCTCACTAGCAGTTCAGTCTGGTTTGGGAAGCTCAAAAGAGCTCTTCCCTTCTGATATTGCAAGTAACTCTGAAACTAGTATCTTGCCATGTGTATGAATACTGTTCTTAATGCAACTCCATCCAAAGGAGTACAATCTTTTCGATTCCGAGCCGGTACAAATACATGCACCTGGTCCTCACTTCTTCAGACTTAAATTTAGGCAACTGAGTTCTTCTGAAGCAAATTAAAAATACTAATTTGGGTCATAATAAGAAAACTTGCAACTGCCCAGCAACTTCTGAGACAAAAATGAAGTCACAATTTCAGCCCAGAGCAATTCACAAATTAAAAAAGCTGGCCAAGAATGTACCCAAGGAACGATATGCACAGCGGTATAACAGGATGGTACCTAGTGATACCCTTGGCTGATTTTTCATCCTGTGTTTAGGCTTTAAGATATTTGGAGTAAAGAACTGCCTGACAAACATGCTGAGTACTAACTACATTGTTAACGTAATTGATGTAATTATCACCATCATCAATATCCAAGAATGGAGAGATGACATAATTTTGTTCAAAACCAGAATTGGAACTTCAAATGTTTTTAGCAAGTGTCATTTTTTGTTTTCTTTCAAGGCATAGTGCGCATATGCCATTTTTTCTAAACAGGTGGGAAAAACACCAAAACAGTCAACAAAATGTTTGGCAAGCAATAGTGATGCAGATAAACTGTATTGCTTGCAGCTACCTCTGTGAGATGTGAATGTGGTGAGGGTTGTAAACAGGGAAGATCCCTGGATGCCATGATGATGCAGACTCTTGCACTGTGCAGTCTAAGCCTTCTAGGGCTGTCCTTCTGTTGGCTTCAATGGGAGTTGAATGAAGCTACATAAACTGCAAATGAAATGCAACCAGGAGACTGGTTTGGGGTACTGACCGCATGAGAATCGGCTGATCAGGGTTGTATTCAGTGAGCAGTTTACTACAGTCCCAGGTGGAGGTTGAATGGCTCAGACAATGTAACAGTAATGTGGTATTAATTATGTTTGAACACAGTATCATCAGAGTACCTGATGGTCTATTTTGTATGCAGCTGATAGATAATTCACAGAGAAAGCTTAGGATCCATTTTGTTGCTCATTTCAGAATAAACTTATTCTTTAAATTGCTTAATTTATAAATTCACAATTTTAATCTTGAGACATTTGGCAGATCACCTTTGTAAATTAGATCTCTTTGGAAGTTTTGCTTACCAGTGGTTATGTTAATCTGTAATCTGATTTCTCTACCCTTGCTACTCTTCTCTTCCTTTTTTTGGCTTAGACTCTCCCTTTTGAACTGATATGTAGAGAATGTGAGATATATATTTGAAAATCCATTAAATTAATGAAATTTGGAACTGTGCTGTAAAAAACATTTACTGTTTCATTTAAGCGTTATATATATTTACAGAAAAGTGGTAAACATTCAAGGTAAAACACCCAACTCTTACTAAGGAATGGACAACGCTGTGGAGATCAAGAAATAAAATTTGAGAGACAGAAAGAGAAAACAATTACTTCAGGAATACGCTTGTGCTAAAAAATGTACTGATGTTTTCCCCACCTGTTTAAGCAAGGCAACCTATGCATGCCTTGAGCAAATACGAGAAAATGACACTTGCCTGAAATGTTTGAAGTTCAAGTTCTGCTTTTAAAACTTAGAAGCACAATATTTTTACAGCTCTGACAATTGTGTAACTTGCAAAGGATTTTCAGCAAGTCCAGGAAATCCTCTGCAGTCCCACATGTCCTTGCTCTACCACCACACTACCTCCCATCTGCAAAATGTCATGGCTGGGACTGCTGGGAGGCTGCCTGATGCTCATAGAAGAGCAAACACCTTTACAAGTCAGGAGCTTTGATCTGCTAAAGTATGGACGATGCTAATCAGGTTTTCTTAGGCAAAGGAACAAAGGAATGTAGCAAGGGGCAAGGCTGAGAGGTCTGATACTATGGGGCTGTGAACACAGCCATCCCACACAGGTATTTTCAGGCCTGGTGAATGTGCGTGCTATCAAGAGTAGAAAAAGGAAATCATCAACTCTGTAGTCATCTGTTAATGCTGCATTATCTGAGCCCAAACACTAATAAAGTCTCAAGAGGTGTTTTTTATCATCTGAAAATTTGTAAAATATTCTAGCAGTTAAACATTTACCTTTGTGGCCAATACCAGTCACAAAACAATTCAGAAACATTGACAAACAGATAGTACTCTCTTTAAAAAAGGCCTTATTTTTTGCTTCGTAATTTAAAATAAGAAAGCATCTTCATTGAAGAGAGTCTGGTGATTTGTTTCCATAATTTTCTGTTTGAATCCTGTGTGATAAAAGTAGTAAATAGCCAAACCCAAATAAAAGTGGGTTTTGTGTGGTTTTGGCCACCAAATCTGTTTGGGGCTTACTTGCCTGTGCTCTGGCCAGAAGCTAATTCTGATTCTTCTGTCTGATGTTTTGTAGCAGTATGCCCTCCAGAAAGTCTGGCAAAAGTGGAGGCAGGCAGATAGCAAGGTATGCAGGTGATTTTCTTTTAGGCTGGATTCCTGGCTGTGAAAAAGGAGTAAGCTATGTGCCCCAAGTGTCCTTCCATATCGTTACTATTATGTTCACTTCCATTCAAACCTTCCCCATGATTTGGCAACTGTGAAGCAGGTACGGAAGAGAAAATCTTTGGGTTATGCCTGGTCCCTTTATTGCTCTTCTCTGGCAAGAAAGGTCTATTGCTGAGGTCAGCCAAAGGCTGCGGCAGCAATTCAATCCAGCCATTGGCGTCAGTTTCCATTTCCCTGCTAGAAGAAGTCTCCATTGAAGACTGGTAGAAGGAGCTTTTTGCAGCAAGTATCAGGGATGGATCTGTCATCTGGGAAAGGTTCTGTGAGCAATCTTTGGGGCAGACAATGTCTGAGTTACAGGAGATACATGTGGACAAACTCTAAAATGTCTACCCCGTGGCATCTCCCAACATCGGTTTCAAGATCCAAGTCTTCACAAATAGAAATCAAAGGCAGTAAAGTAGGAGATACGACTCTGCAAACGTGCAATACCTAGTAAGGTGTTGCGCTGGTGGTGAAATTAATGGTTCCACTCAAAGAATAATAGCTAATCTCTTAGAGATGGCGAATGAAGGCCCAACTAAATTGTAGACAAACAGCTGTGGAAGCCACCTCTAGCCAGACTGAGCCTGGTGCTAAAATAGGCAAGGTAGAGTGACACTGACTTGCAGAGAAATAGGTCATCTGCCTTTTGGACCATACATCCTGACTCAGAGTCCCACAGCAGAAACACACCTGCTACTCTGCGTTTTGATAAATACACCTCTTTTCACTCCCCAGTGATTTCTTCTCAAGTTCTTGGAATGGCACCCTCTCATCTACACAGATCTTTCAAAAGTTTCATTGCAGTGTAGCATGTGTGACCTTAATACAAATAATAAACAACAGTGCTTCCACAACCACGGTCATCAGAAGAAAATCTTGTCTGTTTTCATCAGCAATATAATCCTATGTAATGGCACAGGAAATAAGACTCATAACTCACACAGTACCATTTGCAAATCATAAAGATCTGTGAGGAAACGCAGAGCAGAAACCGAAATATGAAAGCCACACAAACATCTATGATATTAGGCAGCTTTCCATTATGACAGACTTGCCCAAATTATCTGTCTCCAAACACTGTGGGCCTGATTCTCCTCTCTTGCCAGCAGAAAGGAGAATTTTACCAAAGTCAGTTGTTATTTCCCTCCCAACACCTTGTCAATCTGTCATGAGCTCCAAACACAACAGACTCAATAGGTGTAGTTCTGTTCCATTGCTAGCAAAATATCACCTTGATTAATCACATGATTCTTTTTTTTTTTTTTAAATCAGCCTCCAAAATGATCTCTTATGGCAGGTTTCAGAGTGAGGAAAATTCCCTCTTTAAACAGATCTAACTCATTATGTACCACAGATTGTTGCTGGATTTCAAATAACCTTTTTTTTTTTCCTCCCACAAAACTCCCCCCTCATATTTAGGGCTCAATTATGAAAAGAATTAACAATATAATTCCTTCTATTTATTTATTTTTATCAGAACTGGTCACTACATTACTGATTTTTTTCTCTGTCTCTCTTCAAAAGAGCATGCAAACAGAAGCCTCCTTTTTGGCGATTTAATGCAGTCGCTAACATGAAAGACAGTTTATTCACACAGTTCAGTAGCTAGCACACCCTCCAGGTTCTTGGACTACCCTACCTTGGCAGACAGACTCTGTGGTTTGTTGGAGAGGATCTCTGCTGCTTCCCTGCAGCGGGTGGAAAGGTTCAGGATAGCAGCAGCTGCTGCTATGTGGGTGTCTTCACTACATTGACCGTAGCTATAAGAGTTGGCATGGCAAGGGCTCTGTGTGTGGGCGCTAGCACTAGGCAGTCGATTAGAAAATTTCACTGGATTTGAAAAATGCTTTGCTGTTGAAGAGAGATTTGATTAGCAATTGCACGTATGAGATTTTTCCCATTAAATAGTTTTGTTTGTTAGACTACAATTTCATACATTAAAATATTCAAAGAATACATTTAAAACAATCCATTTTCTATTGGCAGTAAGGGTTTGCTGTAAAAACGTCTTCAGAAACATGATAATTTAATTTTTACCTGACAAATACACATCTTTCAACAAAACATCTGAGACTTTAACTCAGATTTTACTCATTTTTTACTCAGGCACTTAAAGCAATGATGTCCAAGGAAAGACTGAACAAGCGTTAGTGTGTTATGTGTCGTGACCTGACGACAGTGGCACACAAATGCAATTGTAAATGCTTCCCTATAAAGGCTTCCTCTTCGAGCTCTATTGCATAAAAAACCAACAGTGACTTGTCCAGTCTTAGCTAAAACAACACTGCTTACCCTGCTTAAATGAATAAGTATGTTATTTAAAGGGCTTTGCTCATGTGAGTAAGGAGAAAAAGTCCAGCCTTTGGAACAAACCAGAGCAATCAGATAAGAACTTTACCTGTTAGGAATATTCAGTCCTGATTTTGCGGAATTTTTTAGAAATTTAATTCTACCCTTCAATCAATTTGAAAAAATAATGACAATGTACATTCGAAATAAAACTGATCTTGGCTCACTGTCTTACGTTGGACTAATACACAGATGTATTAGACACAAAGAGGTTAGCTGAGAATGAAAATCTAACAGGTGAACAGAAAAGCACTTTCACAGACCAAAGTGGTGTGTGTGTGGTTTGTTGTTTTCTGCTGCATCAGCAGCACTTACTCTAAAACAGGTAGAAAGAACTGTGCTCTCTGTTCTGGATTTTGGAGCTTGAGATTTCATTAACTGTTGCAGAGAAAACACAGCACCATGATTTCAGCTCTTAGGAAGCAATAATCACTTCTTTTGTCTGCAGCTCTCACAGTATCCTAACAAAGATAAACTAAGCAAAATCCAATTTCTCAGCCTACATCCAGATACACCAACAACATTTCTGCGTATGGCCATCTGCTTGCTCTGCAAAGATCTGAGCCCCAAAGCTCTGGATCCCTTTGGACGTAGAGCTTTGGCTGAGTGCATTTGAATGCTAAGACCTACACAAAACATTGAAGAACTCATCTTTCTTCAAACTTGGGATGCTCTAAGAGAAATGCTCCTTTGTGTGCACTGACTGTAGCTGAATACCATATTCAGTTTTTCTGAGTACTGGAGGCATCTCAGTAGAGCAATACACAAAAGCCTCATGATTCACTTCTCCCTTTCTCCAGTGCAAATGAAAAAGGATTTATCTTCTCTGCTGTAAAACTGTAGCACAAGCAAGAAGGTCCACGTTTTTAGCAGTTACTACAGCTAACTTCAAATTATATTTAAAGATCAAAAAAGTGCGTTTTCCATTACCCACCCTAGAAGATTTTAAAAAAAAAAAGGGGAAGACTATGAAGGGTGCATGTTTTGTTAACAAATCAATTTTCTAAGTGCAGAATCCACGGAGGGCTAATGATGGGCTTTTGGTTAGCTACATATTTACATCAGACGCTGAACCAATCACTACATCATCAGCTTCTTATTGCCAACTTTTGTATATCTGCGTAGTTAAAGCACTCACCTGCTCTTTTACTTTCACCTTTCCATTAAAATAATAGCTGCACACTGCAATCTTTGCAAGAACAACAGGCTGTAAACTTCAGCCCTGATATACATTATACATAAATTGCATATGTATGTATTTCTATAAAAACATTTCAATCATTTTTCCTTGAAATGAACCTGTGAAATAGGCATACATCTGTGCGAAGAGACAGCTAATAGGGAATATTCAATTTTACAAACAAAATTGGAAAATTTGCCGCCCAAGGAGCTGGCAATGCACATATTTGCTTTTGTTTGAACAAGCTTATTTTCCAGGCCAGAAAAACATCTACTTTTCATTTGCAATTTTAAATAGGTTATTTATATATATACACCAACACATAGATACCTACAAACGTATATATATGTGTGTGTACTCAGAAACATACACAAATAAATAAACATGCAAATTTTATAAATATATAAACCATATATAATATTATATAGTATTATAATTCTATTGTATATGTATATATGCATATATAAAATTTTCTGCTTTTCTGTTCACCTTGCTATAAATGTTCTCCTTTGTTGGGATAATTGTGATGCAATTTGTTTTCCTTTACTACATTTTTTTGTCATGAAGGAAAGAAAAACCAACTAAAGAGTCTTTTGTCACTTTATTTTGGATCTATTTTCTTCTGAACCCAAATATGGTGCAAGGAAATGCCTTTTTTCCCATTTCCCTCATGGCAACAGAATCATTTACTTCTTTGAACTAAAGAGTATTTTATAATGGTCAATACAATGGCAGAATCTTGCTGAAGTTTCCCATGCAGATTGTGAAGAGCAGCTGCAATAAATACTCGGTGTTCACACCGTGGTATCTCATTTGTACAGAGTAGTACCTCAGCAAACCTCTAAGTGCTGCAAGCAGAGGAATCTTGATAACAATTTGATGCATTGGATATGTCTGCACTACAATTATGATGTATCAAAATGAATTCTGGAGGCCTGGAAGTAATGCAGCCAAGGCACATGATCATCTAGGAGGAATAATACCTGTGTGGATGCATATAAAAGGTATCTGAAATGCCTTTAAAACCTAACTTGCATTTCTTTGTACTACAATTCATTACATCTTGTGCAGACACATTCCATGGGACTTCTCATGGCAGCATCCTATCACATAAAGATATCACAATGTAGCCAAGCAAAAAGGTAACAGATAAGACATAAACCATTCCTTTCTACTCCTCTTCTCCCCTGATAATTGTTTTTAAAACAAACATTAAAAAAGTAAACCTTATAGCAATGATATTTAGCATTCTAACATTTTATATTTAGCAAACTCATGATTCTATTTAGCAATCTGCTCACAAGTCGTTCAAGATGCTTCCTAGAGTGGTTTTTTGAATTCTAGGAGTTTGAAAGCAGAGCAAGCAAAAAGAAAAAACCCGTTGTTGACATTTCGCCCCTTTTCCAAGAGATAATGGAATTTCAAGCTTACATTCAAGGAACTGGGGTGTTTTTCGTCCTTGTGCCACAGGTGCTGTTGTGCGTTTGCCAAAGACTTGTGCATCAAAGCTGGCATAATCAAATGGTACTTTCCCAAACTTCTCCTGTTCTTTCGCCAGAGTGGCTCTAGAGGAGGTGACTGGCTGTGAAGTTCTGTAATTGTACTGAGATACCTCAGGCTGCTTCGCTAAATTTGTCCTGCAGAGAAGAGGAAAAGAATGAATGAGAAAGACAAGAATATCTTTAAATAACCTTTTCTTGAAAAACAGGATACAATTGCATCTCAGTATCAGAAAGTGTGCTGTTATCACTTGTAAATCTTACTGGTAGGTGCATACAAGAAATAAATAACACAAATGTGGTGGCTGACCTAGTAGTCAAAGAGTACTTTGACTTCATACAAGTTCAAAGTTGAGGATATAATAAATCTAGTATTCTCTAGTAACGATGTGGGTTATTTACAAGAGAAATACTGAGTGACTCCTAGATTACCACTGTAGCACGGTGCTTCCTTTATTTCTAAAAATTGTCCGGAGTTTTGCCAGTCAAAGGACTTGTAGTTTTATGGATCACTGTTGTTCTTGCTTTTTTGTGAATGAGTATGATACAAATATAATATAAGATGATCCAAAATAATTGCTTCTGTTATTTGGGCGGAATGAATGATTTATGGTGTGTTATTCCATTTAGTTACTGTTCAGTAACTACTTGTCTTTAGTAATTTCCTAAGGACTTTTCATATGTAGAGTTAAGGCATGTGCCGTTGGCAGACACATGGACATAATATTCTGTAATGGCTCTGAAGGAACCATTAGAGCAGATCATGTCAATAATCCACAAATTAAAGTGTCCCCAAATAGACCTGAATATAATAGGTTGTAATGGTTGTAGTGCCAATGATGTGCAAATTATGCATGTCTGTAGGGTCCATATAACTCTCAAACAAAATACAATTGCAATAAAAAATGTTTCCCCTTTTTGATACCATTGTATAAAAAATAAATTAAACTAATTAAACCAGTAAACTTAAAATGAAGAAACTCAAAATATGAACTATTCAATGGTGGAGAAACAGAACAAGCAGAGTTCCTAACCCTTTCAGATAACATGCTACTTACTGGATCACTGGGAGATTCCTCTGAAAAGAATCGCAAAATAAATGAAGACTGAGCTGCTAAAAGTGCAGTAAGGTCAAAGACATCTTTAAACAAGTTTCAGTGGCCAAAATATTATAACAAAGGAAAAATTCTTGGAAATTGTTTAAAATATTTCAGCAAGATAGGAGATTTGGTTTAGAGGAGAAAGACTTTTGAAAACCATTGATCAGGCTACTTGTGATGAAGTAAGATTTAGTAGAATATATTTGATTGCTTTTCAAAAGATACGTCTGTTGTCTTTAATGTCAGTCACATGCACAAGAACCAGCAGAAAGCTGCTTGTTAATTCTGAGATACAGTCAAGTTATTTAGCTTTGCAGAGGTTCATCTTGGAAAACTGAGTTACCCCTGTAGCTGAAATCTGAAGCGAGGGAAAGACCTGAGGACTGAACTACAGATTTTGTGCAGAAATACTTTGGAGAGACTAGTTTGTGAGGGCTCCTACCTGTGAGTCTGGTCGTGGCACTGCCCAGCTTTTGGAGGCTCGAGCTGGTTCTTTTCCTGGGACATTGCCAGCTTTTCAGCTGCAGCAATTGGACAACCAGAAAGGCTGTTTAAAAGTAAGGTGAAGCAAAGAAACAAGAAGAAGAAGAAAAAAAATCATTAAAATGAAATCTTAAGTAAAGGAAATGTGTGCTGTGGAACCCAATGACTTTGAAGTTCTCTGATGCCATGTGCATCTATGGGAGCTGCTGCTATTATAGCCCAGATTCATCTGTTTTTCAAGCCTTAATGCAAAACTGTTTTTCAAGCCTTAATGCAAAACTGTGAAATCTGTGTATTTGAGGTGATATATCTGGAAACTGAATCATGTAGGAGTTTTCCACAGTTCAGCTTTGATGTTTTGTGGCTGGCAAGTCACTAGTAAATTTTTTGACAAATGACATTTACTTTATCAGCTAAACCATGCATATAAGCCTCCTGCTGATTAAAAGGAAAGTGAATTTGGGAAAAAAAACAGGGGTATGCGAGCGACTGTTACCAAAGAACACATTTTGTCATTTCTAGTTGTGTTTTCTTTTTTTTTCTTTTTTTCTATTTGCTTTATTAGATTAGAGCATGTTTTCTTATCCTATTCCTGGGTTGCTTATGATACAGCTGATGTACTGCAAAGATGTCTGGGGATTTAAAACAGGAAACACAATGAAAAAACGTTTACTGGTTCCTTATATACTCTTGTAGATGAGCTTGTAATCTCTCTAGTAAAGACTAACTTTTCATATTAAAGATAGTAACGTAGTATGATAATCCTTGATTTTGATGTGCTCATACAATAACCCATCAATCAATCAATCAGCAGCAAAAAAAGAAAATCCCCACAAAAATTCAGTTCAACACAGAAAGTTGGTTTCAAAATTTTTATATCCCAAGTTTGATTGTATGATTGACATTATATTTTTCCAGAAGCACTGTAATGGAATATTTTGACTTGCTGGTTTCCAGCAGAAAGCAGTACTGACAAGAGACAGCCTGACAGAGCGCATCGGCTCTCTGCCTCCCCTGCAGCCCAGCTGTGACTCCCTGGCTGCCTGGCTGGGAGGCTTTTCTCAATCTTACTTTCTCCCTGCAGGCAGCAAGTTAAACAGATAAGAGTGGTCCAAACAGGAAGATGACATTCCTGAAGGTAAGACATAGAGTTAGTTTTTACACAGATTCTAAAATATTCTGCTTAAAATTTTCTGTTTTGCTAAAATGTGCTTTGATGGGAAGTTCCTAACAAGGACTACCATGTATGTGGTGCAGAATGAAGAGGCTTTGGTTTCCACTGGGCTTTCCAGTTGTAGCCATAATGATGTATTTGCTCATTCCTGCCACTTTCACATGAGGAAGTTTCACTGAAAAGACTGTGATGGATTGTAGTTTGAAATCTAATCTGTGAAAAATACTAGCAGAATTTGCCATCCCTAGTGGTGCAGCCATTTTTTATATAATGAAATTAAACACAATTCTTTGATTATAAATAATACAGACTACACTTGCAGCTCATAGGCTTTCTGCAGTGCAGTACATAACATCTAATTCATAGATGTGCCCGTCAATTTACTCCCAGGTACATGTTAGATTTTAAGTGGACAGCGTCTTTTCTGATCTACCTTCTGTGTGTGTTGCGATTGCTGTTGACATGTCCTCTTCCAGTGCATCCTGGCGTGGGGCACTTCAAAACGTTTTCATGCATGGCAAGAACTAAACAGGAATAAGAAAAAAAATTAAGGTAACTTGGATCAATTAAAAATACATATATTGAAAAATATGAACATTTCTTCTTTGGACTCAGATTTTCATTTCTGTCACATGTGGACCACAAAAGAAAAGGAGAAGCAAAGGACCTACAACACAGCAAGGCTGGTGCCCCCGGCATATACCAGTTTATCCCTGTATTGCTGTATAGTGTGGCTTCCCACATACACATCATTGTTTCTAGGGACTTTAAAAGAACAAAGGTGGAAGTTAGCAAGGATGTTTACATCATGAAGCCCTTTGCCTTCTGTTTCATACACCACTAACACAGAAATGGGGGGTGATAGAGGAGCCCTGGGTCACACAGTTGTGCTATGTGCAGCTCCGGTCTCTCTCTGTCTCAGGGAGGGCAAGCCCTCAGGTACAGGAGGCTTTTTATACCTTGCACCTCAGTAAGATGATCTGATCTGATCTGAGTACGTCCCCTTTGAACCCTGGTACCTTCTGGTCATCTGAGCTGTGCTGACACTACTTTAGACCAATAGGTCATGCTCCCAAGCAGTGGCTTACACTCTCAACAGTGGTTATAACCTCTTGCATGTACGTTTCTTATGCCCTTCGAGGTGGATCATCTTTACTAAGACTGAGATATATGTCTGTGTTAAACCTAATATGTCTTTGTACGTCTGTCCTCAGGCCTTCAGTGCCGCATTACCTTTTTGTGTGCACAGTGCTGACTGTTCAGTCAACTGGTTTGTTCTGGCAGGAGCTAAATTATAATTATTTTTTTTTTTGCCAGCAGGACAGATCACATCTGATTGGAAGTGTGATAATTAACAAGGACTTGTTAATTTTAACTTTTTAGAAAGTTAATGTTGCTAAGGCCTTCCAAATGCAGCAGCCTGCTTAACTCAGCAGATGTTTCCATAAATACAGTTTAGTACCAGATTTTAAAAAAGGGAGAGCTATAGTTAGGAACAGGACATTGGTAAAGTGCAAGTGTCCTTTTAATTTGCTCTTATGTATGCCACCACAAAAAACAATCTGACCAACTATGTTGTTTAAACAAATAGTTTCACATTAGGTTTTGGCTTATTATGCAGCATTTCATTGCATCACATTGCAGGATTACACACACACACAAACCAATGTAATCGGATCAGCACAGTTAGAAATAAGCAGGGAAATTCAGGCTAGACTGGGCATAAAAGGGTTAGCACGATACAGTCGTACGAGAGGGACGTGCTGTGGACCAACACTGGGATGTACTAATGGAAGTAACCTTTTTGAGCTCAGTGGTAAGGGGGACACTGGAAACATCTCTGAATAAGCATGCCCAGGCCTCTCAGTTATTGGCAATGAAAACCGGCAGCCTCCGTGTGCAATTACGGCAAATCGGGTCGCAGCTCAGAAACAAGCAGGTGATTTCTGTGCTGCATGCCTTAGCAAAGGCATGGGCAAGCAAGATCTTGAAGACTGATGAGACTACAGTGTGCAGGTCATCTGGCAGAGCGGGGATAATTTGGCTCTGATCTTCTTCTTCCCAGGCCACTTGAGGAGCCTATTGCTGTTTGTAACGCTGGTGCTAAAGAGTATTTGAGCTTCACAATTATGGGAGGAAGGACTGCGACTAAGAGCTGGCGGGCAAAGAAGGTGTGATGGCTCCTCTCTCAGCCTCATTCTGCAATCTCACCCACAAAACGTGGGTTTCTTCTCCAGCATGAGCACTCCATACCCACAACACTGGGCCAGACCCAGTAGTTATTCTGGACTGCAGGGTGGTGATACTCACTTTCTAGTGGCACTCTAACTTTATGTGGGCAGCCTGAGAGGCTGCGGTGGTGAGGGTACAGCCCAGTCACGTGCCCTGTGCCATCACATCCTGGGATGGGACATTTGGTTTCTCTCTTTTCAGGCCTGGGTGAATCTGCAGAGAAATCAGATAAGGATTTTGTTTGGTTTTAGCCCCTGACTGCACTCAGCTGAGCGATCCTAGCAGCACAATACTATTTTGTACTTCAGATGTAATTCCTACACAAAGTTTTAAGAGATGTATGCAATTTAAGCATCACTTTAGGTTTTCACACCGTGTCCTTTAAACAATGGCTCCCCCCTCCCAGTATGCCATTTATGTGCTAAACTATATAGCTTTAGGATTGCTATGTCATTTATTCCATTCAGAGCCCCAAAGAGGACAGAAGCCACAATCCAATAAGCCAGAAAACTGGCAGCATCAGCCAACAGCAAGATCTATAAAGGAATAAATAATAAAGCAGAAACAATCTTTTACTCTGTTAATGTCAGACTCCAGGAAGCTGGGACAACCAAATAAAAGCTGAGGTGTGAAACAAACAAACAAACAAAAAGCATTTCAACCAGAAGCCATTCCTCAAATATCGCAGATCTCTAGGCTGTAGGTTCTTTGTTAGGAAACTGAATACATGCCACTTTACATTTGAGAGGCAAGGCAAGCAGCTCCCTCTGGTACACATGGCAATGCCGCTTTGTGGAGCAGCCCACAATGACAGTGAAAACATGGAGCAGCCGATACCCTTTCAAAGGCGAGGTCTCAGCCCAGCCCCACAGCTACCACTCTGTAACGGCCGCAGTGCATTCCCAATTTGTGTTTCAAGCACCTAGAATTGTGCAAGAAGCACTGGTCAGAAAGCCTTTATTTGATTTCCAATGCAGGATCAAAAGTCTGGGCGAGAAAGGAATGAATTCTGGTCCAGAAATTCTCTTGTGAGAAATCTGGAGGAAGTGGCCGCATAAATTGCTGAGGATGGGTTTAGCTCCATCTGTGACTGGCTGCCAACAGCATTCGGTGCTGGGGGAGAAAACAGCTGCAGCCAGCACAGGGAGCAGCCTCCTTCAAGCTTGTTTTGTTGGACCGCGAGGTAGGATGTGCTTAGGGACAGGATCACCAAAGGCAGCTGAGGGTTAAACTTCCTGGCAAGTTTTTAGGTTAAAAAAAAAAAAAAAAGAAAGAAATAGGGAGGAAAGAAAATAGACTGAGCATCAACAGGAGACCACACGCTTTTTAGAATCACTGCGAATGGAAAGTCCTGCAATAGTGGACCGCAAATAAAGAAGGACCCTAAAATATGAATTAATTTTTGCCCACTAGTTGGAAAGGCTTATTGTTAAAAAGATGGAAAAATATAAATTTAAGCCACGTTTTTCTGATATAATATCCAAGAAAGAAAATTAAGAGCTGATGGATTTGACGACGGATTTTTTAGAAATAAAAACCAGTTAATTATGTAAAGTGAAAAAATCATGTGCCTGATACTACATTGACTAAAATCATACAGTGTTTACACAACCTGAAGAAAGCCTGGTTTGTTCCTCCATGAATGTTACGTCTGAACTCACCTGCAAAATACAGCCAATAATAATATGAGGCAAATCAGGAAGGGCCAGATTCTGCCATACACCTTCCTTTGTGTGCTGTGAGAAAGTCACATTGACACCAATGTGAACCTGCTTGAACACAGCTGGTCTTAGGGTAAGAAAAAGTATCTATAAAATTCCTGCATATACTATAGTCATCTGGGCAAATAAAGGTTCATTTAGTTTGGCAAGGGGGTAGACTAATAGCGTGCATGCACAGCTTAAGACATGCTAGTGAAAAGACTGCTTGAGACAGAAAAATGACATGAGTGCATATTCTTCCCAAATACTACAGGAAATATTTTACAGTTACAACTCCTAAGAAAATTTCTCAGTTTACCTTATCCACTAAATGCTTTAGATAACTAAACTGCTATAATATTTGCAATGTCCGCAGGGACTACTCTAAAGTAACACTAGAAATACCAAAGTAAATCTTTTATCAAAAGCAGAAATGGCAGCAATGCTGGGGTGACCTCAGTATATTTGAAAGCCCAAAATGAAAAGTCGAAGGACAGGTGAATGTATTATTACTTACTACAGCAGGGTGTGTGCTTATAAAATGACATCACTTGTGTTCTGTAATTATCCTCAACTGAGGAGTTTTGTACAAGACAGCCCAGTTTACAAATCAAACCCAAATCTTTTAAATCTCGACTTCTGGAAGCCTGATTAAGTACCAAAAATGGAGCAATGTTCCTACAGCTTTGTAGGATGCCACAAACCATCAGAAACAATAAAGATTTTGGAACTTACTGGTAATTCTGCTCGTGGTGAATGAGGCAGAAGAGCACGGCTTGTGCTTTCCTGGCTGAGAAGTGCTGGCTGAAGCAAAATGTAATGTTGATACGTGAACTAGACTGAACTTAGAAAACACATGGCTTAGGAATTAGGCGGTATGCTTGGAAGAGGCCAATTTTTCACCCTAACCTTTCCTTAAGCACCGTTTTAAGGCCTTCTCTTTTGGCTGCTGAAATGTAGGAGGTATGTATTAGTGGCCTACGGAGGAGGAGGCAGAGGAGGAGGAGGAGGAGGAAAAGGAGTGTCAGTGCCAGCTACACAGCCCTTTTAGTACCCATTACTGATCATTTCATATAGCGGTTTGGCAGAAAGCCAAGTACCTGGCGTTTAACCTGGTTAGATGTAAAGCACTAGTGTGAAGGTACATAATTAGCAAAATTACCAGCTAAATTCCAGATTCTTTACTGTTGCTATAAAACCCAGCTCAGAATCCTCTATCAGTCACAGGATAAATGCTTAAGCCAGTTAGAACAACCAAAAATACTTCCTTACGTTTGTTGCTAAATATCTGTCTCCCACCAACGTCAATAACTTTGGTTTGTCTCCTTTCCCCTGCTAGATGCTCCAGAAGAAACCTATCCAGTTCCTTGTAGGTGCTGTGAAACACATGCCCTTGCTCTGCCTGCAGAGCGATTGCTTGTTCCAGCAAACTCAAGTTCCCTTTTGTTTTGTCCAGCTCAACTGACACTTCTGTGGTTTCTGACAGGCACTCGTTGTCGTCTTCTTCACTTTCAGGGAAGGGATTCTGAATTCTCTTCTCGAAAGGATCTGGGTGGGACTCCTGGGGTGCTCTTAACTCTGTTTCTGAGTCACAAAGTGTTTCACAAGGGCCAAATTCTACCTCTTCCTTCTTAATTTCTGGGACTTCCAGGATACTAGGTTGATTACACTCTACAATATACTTCTGAGTTACATGGGGTTTTATTACACTAGTTTCTTCTGAGAAATTTGAAGAGCTGTCCCACTCGTTGTCCATAATTTCAGAGTTACTTTCATTTTCCTCAGATGAACAGTACTTTGGGTCAGAAATAACAGTCTTCTCCTTTCCTTCAGCTGAGTTAATCATGTAACATTCATCAGTGTCATCACTTTCTGTTTTCAAGGATTGAATGCCGCTATCATTTAGATTTTCTGTCATTGTTTGACTGGGTGCATCTTTTGCTAATTTTCCCATGTTCATCAAAGATTTGCCCATGGCACCTTGATAGCTGGAGTAGTTATCTTTTCTTTGACTGGAATTTTCTTGCCCACCTGAATGAGGGGTTTCCTCAGATGATTTTGGAGTACTTTCCTCTGCAAGAGAAAAAAGCAAGAGAAAAATATGTAAGAATAACTGCTTTTTCTATCTTGTGGAGGTGATATAAATATATTTACTTACAAATCACCATTTCTTTACTCAAAGGTACTCTGAAATGATTGAATTCAAGCCAAAGATGTGTTTGAAATGACTGCTTATAGCAGAAAAGCCCTTCTAAGATTGTATCTACTTTATATTATAGCTCCAAAGCTATACGAGAAACAAATATGTTGCCATTTTTCACTGATGGTGAAGACATCTATTATCTCAGAACACATGTGCATTCATATACATTCATATAAATATAATGTGCCATATATGGATAGGTAGTATAGGTATACATGCAATCTATATAGTCTATGGAGAGATATAGACACATACAAGCACATACACACACATTTTAAAATTCCTCTGATCTATTTTCAATTTTCTTTCATCCAAGATTCCCAAATATTTTCTCAAAATAGACCCTAATTACTTTCCCAGTCACCCCAGATCCCACGAAAGACCTTGATGGAAAAAACCTCAATACTTCACAAAGGGCAAGCTCCTGGTCACCATTGCAATTGCCACGTTAAGTGATGGATCAGGTCATGCACAGGCAAACAGAAATGGTTGTTATGTACAGACTGATAAAGGACTTGTTAAAGACACCACTGAAGTGCATCCTGTCTTAAAGACATCTTTCTTCAGAAGAAAAGCAGCAGCCAGAAGGTAATAGAGGCTGCATCTAGGAGAGGCTGTCGGTGTGGAAGACAATATGCCTTTTGTATCTCATTTAATTTTTTATAAACATTTCCTCTGACAAGGACACTCAAAAATACATCTCCATCATCTTCCTTTCTGGTAATTATCTCTCTAAAATCAACACTGGTTTGCCAGGATCAAGTAAATATTGCCATAGTAACTAAAAGCATTTTTGGATGAAGGGAAGAATTTAGTCACAACACTAGCCCCTTCAATAATGCTGATTATAGGGTACATTCTTTTGTTGGGATCTATTCAACATAAACTGAAAAATTTAACATTTTACTTCCTAGAAAGGAGGATGAATAAACAAGCAGAGATTATTTCATAAGATGTGTCTGTGCTCTCCTGAATCAGAACAACTCCAGGTTTAAATAATAAATTAAGCATAGTCTAAAATGCAAATGAAGTTTCTCTCAATAACACAGCGAGCTATTAAGAGAAAGTGTAAAGGGTTATGATAATTTTAAAGTATTATGAACTACAGAAAACAAATAAAAAGCATTTTCAGTGAATATGTCCAATTCATTGAACTATTCTCTCAATCCACTTAACTACCCACATGTGTACAATAATGATTTATAGACATTATACCTAATTATGCATATTTGGGCTGTGTTAGAGTGCCTAACAAAAGCTCTAGAAAGCAACAATTACCTCTGTTGCTTAGCTACATAGTTTAAAATATTCCTATTAAGTGCAGATTATTGTGGAGGGGAAAAGGGGGACAAAAATGCACATGTGCACCACAATGCATTTCACTTTACTGCTGCCAAACTGTTAGCATTTTGGGTCATTTCCAGTTTACATAATTGTTTGGTTCAACTGTTTGTTATATGTTAAAAGAAAATATTGATTAATTCTTATTCTTCTTCAGAAAATTGGACTCATGCAGGGAGAGGTGGCCTTGTGCACTGTGTGCATAAAGTTGTGTTTAAAAAAAAAAAAGTCTGTAAACCTCAGTGTAACTTTTTAGCAGCTGGTCTAGTACCACACACATTGCAGTATTCTGAATAAAGAAATCTGCTGTCTTTTCACCTCTCAGCAAGTAAGAATGATGATTTGGTGCTATAACCAACTTTAGTCAAATGGATTTTTATTATGTGCTCTTCTGCCATTTGGAAAATAACAGAATCCCGTCAGTGGGTCATTTAAAAAAGTAAGAGGTTCTAGTTTTAAAAGAAATCTTCCACCCTTCAAAAGAAAACAAAACAAACAAAACTTGGTAATAGTAGCAGGTCTTTTCAGTTATTTTTTTCTGTGTGAAAGATGAAAAATAATATAAATGCATGATAACAGATTTTTTGCTCCTAAAATAATCAGTGATTTTTAAATGCAATGTTTAAAAATTTGTTGTTGAACCAGTCTTAATGGTTCAGCTGTCCCAGCTTTGCTTTTCACTTCCACAGGCTGTGAATTTACTTTAAAAATAATCAAAACTCAGCTTAGTTTACAGTTACATCAATCCATTAACTGACGCATTAACTAATCAACAGACAAGAATCATGAGTTCATAATAAAATGAGCTATATTACATTAGGAAATTACAAATAAACTTACATATCTAGACCAGCTCTATGCTATAGCTGCAATTTGTTTTGTAGCTGGCAAAATTAATGCAAAAAGGATGGATTGTATTATCAGTGACACAATCAGGTTGGGAGAAATCTCACTGGTATCAGATAAATCTTTTTGAAATCAAATGGGTTTTTTCTTTTGTCTGAAGGGCTGGGTAGAAATAGGGTTCCCCTACATTTATATCAATGGACCTGGCCCGACACTTGCCCTTTTTTAAAAAAAGAACCAGTTAAATAAGTTAGGTTCCTCTGTATACGGCACAAGTTCTACCTTACACCCATCACAGTACTTTCCCTTCAGCGAGTTCTTCAAGCTGTGCAGAGAACAGACACAAGGGAAAGAATAACACATTACTGAGGACAGCTCTGGATGTCCAGGAACTGGGCTGAATCAATACAAGAAAAATTAGCTAAAATCTATATATCTCAAAAAAAAACAAACCCCAAAAAACTCCCAAAATACACACCCCCCCCCAATAAAAAACAAAACCAAAATAAAACCAACCAACCAAAAAAACCCAAAACTTAGAGAAACTCTTACTCAAACAGCTTTCCTTCTGGTGTTAGGAGATAGAAATACTCCTTGCAGGCTGGACAGGCACTGAGAACCATGGTGCTTTTTTCTTCATTAATTTAGCTTAGTAATGTCAGCCAAAAGACAGAGACATTGGGTATCAGCTCGTTAATGTTCTGTTTGAAGAGGGAGCTCCCTTCTAGGCTTTCACACCGATGGGATGCAGACCCCTGGAACAGACTCCTTCTAGAAATGGCTGAAATCTTTGCCATATAGAAATGACACAAAGACCTCCACTGATTTCAGTAGAACCAGGATTTGACTCTTTAATCTGAAAGATAGCCATCGCCGCCTTCTGTGTGTTTTATAGTATTCATATGTATAAAATTTGGGGGGGTTGTTTTGTTTTTTAAGGAAATTCTGTTTAAAGTGGATAAAGATATAAATTTCTAAGCTCAGTTCATCATAAAATCATAGAACGGCACAGGTTGGAAGGGACCTTGAAAGATCATCTGGTCCAACATTTTGTGGGAAAGGAAGCCTAGATGAGATTATCTAGCACCCTGTCCTTCCAAAATATTTCATAAGAAGAAACTGAGTGGAAAATAAATTACCTTTAAACTCCCAGAGCAACCAGCAACTGAGTGGAATATAAGTTCATTCTGTTTTCATATTAGCTATGATTACTAATTTCCCAGTGCCAGAACACATTGCTTTTATCTTGACATTTTCTATCTACTGACGACTCCTCCCTTTAAAACAAATGCAGAATGTATTTCACTGGTGTCTTCTCACTTTCCTGATTCATGATTTGTGCAGGAGTTCTTTAACAAATATATGACAGCCAATTTAGTTTTGCATTTTTTGTTCATCTTGAATATGTATAAACATATATTATAAAGAAAAAGCAATAAAGACATACTGTAGCTATATCTTTCTGTCTCCCCATCTTCTTCCATATTTTACAGCACAGGCATTGTAGAAGTTTCTATAAATTGTTGGACATGTTTGGCTTAGCAGAGTTGGAATAACAAGTATAAAAATGCTGAGTCTAATAATCGTGTTAAACAGAACACACATAGCAGACACGCATGAAATTGCTTTGCTAAATGTTAAAGTCAACAATATTTTTCTAGACATTTTTTTTTCTTCCTAAAAGCTCTGTATATTCCAGTGAAAATCTGCTCTTCATAAATGTGTTTTTCTCAGTGGTGGGCTTAACCTTGTTCTTTGACAGAGCTAGTGGAGAAGCAGATGCTGCTCCATATCTGACCTGCTGCAGTAGTTGTCTCTCTGTATGACCTACAAAGCATTTACTAGACCCCAGGAGGAGTTATTGTACAAAATAATTGAAAGTACGATGGTTGAACCTAGACAGAAATGCACCATTCCAACTCTGTTATAAGTCAAACACATTGTGCAACCTTTTTGAAAATACTGTTTCTTATCTCCCTTCCTGTGGAATTCAGGTTCAAGTGGAGCCACGCTGCACGACTACCTGGAGTTGAGTTGCTTTCGAGGACACCGATCTCTTCCTGTAAATCTGTCCTGTCTTCATTTTCTTCTTTGCATTCCAAGCTGGGGCTGTAGTGGCGGGGTTTCATTAACAGGGACTTCCTTTTGTTGACGGGAACGCCTGATATCTGTTCTTCGGCTTTTCTCTTCTTAGCCATGGAGCATTTGTAGGCACTGCAATGATCAGTTGCCAATGACAGAGAAAAAAGTGGGAGAAGTGAGGTGTAAATTGTTTAAAAAATAGCACCATCCTCTAGTTTAATTCTAAGTATAAAAGCGAGGACTGACAAAATATTAATTCACTTGCAGTTTCAGCAAGTTGTGTTTAGTCAGTACTTAGTTTTAGCTCATGTACTTGAAGTTCAGGGCACAGGCAAGTCCCATTTCTTTTCACTGCTGCCAAAATGTGTTTGCGGGAAGGAGAATGAGGAGGAATACAAAACCAAAAAACCCACAACCCAACATCCTTAATCCTAAATATGCATATGCTAATCTAAGCCCTTCTCTGCAGTAAAATAAATACACCCAGGAAAAGATGAACAAAATTGTAGTGTGGGTTGATAATCCAGAGAAACAGCTAAGGGAAAATTATACCATCGGTTATACTACAACATCCTGAGCCTTTGGCTCCATTACCGTTACATCAGTACGGATATCCAAACAGACACCTTGAGTTCAACAGCATAAAACCTGAGTGAAACGCACTGTACCTTCAGAATATTTTGCAATATAGGTCCCTCTTTCAATACCAGTCCTAAGTGTTGGTTTCATTTCATTAACTTCAGCCACAAATGCCTAGTTTAAGGTCTTCTCAGGTCCCTGTATAGACTCTGGAAAAAAGCTCATCCAGAGGGCAATTCATCCCATTTAAAACAAGATCTGATAAACAGGGTGAGCCATCCCTGGGGAAAGGCTTTACGCAGTCTAAATACCTAACTTTCAGATGATCGACATGAGAAGAGAGGGCAGTACTTTAAAGAGGAAGATTTTTAGCAGATTTGAGATACTTTTTTCAGCTCCTATAAGATCCAGCTATTGATCTACATATTAATTTGCCTCTACAGATATTTAGCAAAGCCTTTGCTGCAAGGCAGCTGATCTGTATGGCATATAGATGTTACATCACACAACACTTCACTAGAGAGGCCTGAACCTTCAACCCTCTTTTTTTTAATAACTTTTTGTGTAAGTGATTTGGCATGATTTCCCTGTTCTCTCACACATAATATTCTAAGAAATTTATGTAGTACGAATAATAGTACTCATATTATATCTGTCAGAGATGAAAAAACTACATATATGAATCTGTGTAATCCACTCAATGGTTTCTCGACCTTAGGCACCCCTGGGGTGCATTACAAATCTACACGATGCCCTTAGGTGTTGGATTTTGCATTTGGCTCACTGACTTAGCTGCAAGATTTGCAAAAAAATCGATGTGTGCAGAGAACTCCTATTGGTTACACATATTACAAGCTCAACAGCATAAATTAATCCTTCCAAGGTATCTTATGTGCACTAAATTGGCTGAGGTTCTGATTGTTTGGATGAAAGCATACGACTAACTTGAGCTTTTTGTTAAAAAAAAATACCCATTTTTGGCTAAGCACCTTTTTGGCAATCCATCATTGCAAACATGAAGGACATGGAAATACGAAGATCTGCATTTTGGGGGGAATGTTAAAATTCTAGCATATGCATCTTAAACACATTGGATATTCTTGATCTTCTGAAAGCTAAAATGTTACGGACATCAGGAATACTGGATGTTAAGCACCTGCTGTACTTGAATATATTATGGCTTCTGTGTTATTTCTCTGTTTATGAATAGAGGATAACATGAATGTCGTATTAAAGGTCAGAATCACAATGGTATAAGCGTCCCCTTGGAAATGATGCCCATATAACAGACATCAGGGATGGATGTAGTGTGGACAAATATGCATAATCTATTTCTAAGAAAATACAATCGAGAGTTTCTTAATTCATATTTGTGAACGGCAGTTCATACCATTCATGTTGTTTCAGGAAGATTGAATAAATGACAAATGTTTGAAAACCCTTCACGCACAATTGTTTTTATCAGCCAAAACCTTCACTAGGTTTGCTTTTGATCTTTCTCATTTATTTGTCAAGCTTCAAGTTTACCTCCAGTAGCTACCGTGAGAGTGTTTAGGACAAGAAGAATTTCCAGTGTTTAATTCCCTGTTGACGAAGGTACAGCTGTTTCTTACACAAGCATAATTAACAGATTTTTAGAACAGAAGATCCAATTAGATCATCTAGTATGCCCTCCTGTGCAACACAGGTCACAGAACTTCATCTAGGTCTTCAGCTTTAATCCTGTAATTTATCTGACTATTGTGTAACTTCCAGTCAAGTGAAGGGAAAACATGGTAAGCTGGTAAGTTGATTGCTGTATTCTTGCTCACTAAACACAATCTTTTTCTACTAACATAATAAGTCCACCACTGTGGGCTGGCATAACAGCTATTAAAGACATTGGTTTTCCACCACAACTGTGGAAGACAAACTCAGATGTTAGCAGACCACGGTCAAGACGAGCGTGGGGGCACCACTGCCACCTGCAACCTGCAGATCTGCTCTGGGAAATGAGAGCACAAGAATTCCACTTGTCTGTAACCACCACGGTTTACAGCAATAAATCAAAAGCTGCTGCATCAATGCTAGGACAGGAGGCCCACAAATCTGCCTGGAAGCACATTGCTCATGTTAGAAAGTTTCTCCTCTATGAAAGATTGATGCATTAGCTTGTTCTTACCATACCTTTTTGTGTACATGAGCAGCCACTCACCCAGATTTCCTCTATAGTTCCCATCATTTTAAAATAAGTGAATACATGAGATTCAACTTAAAGAAAAATCATTCCTGACACCTCTGCTTCTGATTACATGAAGAAGACAAAACACAGTTGTTGCTTCTTTCCTAGGAAGTGCAAATTGATGTCCATAGGCCAGGAAGAGATTTTTCAGCTCCAGCAGAATATACTCTTGCTTTTGCTGGTGACTTTTTAAACTGCTGGTTTTGAGTTTTAACTGGAATCTATTAGTTTGCAAGGGCCAGTTTAAAGATCTACCATGTACCAGCAATTCCCCATCTTTTCTACCTTACAGTGCTTAAAATTAAAAATGAAAACAAAACCAGAAAAACAACTTCGCAAGTGGTGGCTTTTTCAAGTGCTTACACATGATTTGTTAAGTATTTGGTAATGGACACTGGGAGGTGAACTTCTATGAAAAGAACATATTTATGCTTTCGTCTTTAAAAGTTTCTATTTCTCTCTTTAGCTTATGTACATTCACACATACACACACATGTACGTTAGCACAGAGTTGTCAAGCTGTAGTTTGTCAAATGGTAAACCTATAATTTAGCTTCTCTATTACTCATCTCATAAATTCAACGTCTAATAGTTTTGTTGCTATTTATCAATGGCCTGCTTGTTGTCATGGAACACTGATTCAGCTGTCAAGGTTATTTGGTAATCTGAGGCTCATAAAACAGGAGAAGCTCTTTTTGTTATGAGCCCAAAGCCAATACATGGTTTTTATCCCAATTTAACTATACTTAAATTTTATGAATAATAAATCATTTTAGTACTATCTATAACGAGCAGATTTATTATTATTATTATTTTAGTCAATGACTCAGTTACCAAAGCCAGTCTTGTGTCAATTATCTTAGTGTGAGCCAAGAGGTTAAAATCTAAGACATGTAAGACCTGGTTGCATGTGTTGAAAAAAAACCCCACGATAAATCTTTCATATGTATTTCATACCTAAATACTTTTGGGGGGGAATTTACTGAATCCTTCTTTTTCCTTTATTTCTACTCAGAATACGTCTTGCAGACACTGGTAGTATACAGGCAGATCAATGCATTGGCTCCCCACCACATCACATCAGAAGAAAGAGAGAGGTTTTAAGAAGTCCTAACCAAGCACAGCTTTTCCTACTGCTAAAATTTGTCATGCTCGTCTCTTTTTTGTAATTGGTTCACCTAAGCGATGTGTTTGTCAAGCCTGTAACCTGACTTTTAACCACTTAGTAGCCAGCAAGGATTTTTTGTTGTTAATCCGCTGGCAAGACTTCCAGATCTCTGGGGATTTTTTTCTTATTCACAGTAGCCTGCAGATGGGTAAAGCATGATAACAGAGTGAAGAATTGCCATAGTGTGTAAAACTAGGGGTATGTTAGGCCTGACAACTGGTGTTTACTAATGCTTGTAATGGATGCCATGTAAAATAATAAGAACAGAACACACTGCATGTCATGTACACTTCTTAGCTTCAAGAGAGAAAAAAAATGTCTTTGACTATCAAGGCACTTACATTTATTGTCTAATGGTATTTAAGGACCCCACTCCTCATATGAGTTTATGCAAGAATAATTAGTGGAGCATTTCAGTTGTGGAGAAAATAATTTTAAATTCTTAACCTGAATTGCCTTTTGACTGTTAGCTTAACTGTACTACAAAATTAAGCATTAGACTATTGAATTACAATTAAAGGAGACATCATCTTCTGATCAAAAAAAACTTCACACCTGTAGTTACAAAGAGAAGGCTAGCCTAACTACTCCTTAATCATCTTGTGATTGAAGATGTTGGCAGATACTTTAGGCCTTGATGAGGTTTTGTTCACAAACTTGCAGATGCCTTAGGACACTAGGGAGTCAAATACTACATTTTCCTTACAGGAGGGAAAAATTGGTATTTGAAAATTCAGGGACATTTGCCACTCACAGGTGAGCCAGTAGCTTACAAATGTCTGTCACGGGCTTTCTTCTAAGAATTTTAAGACTCTACTGAATCAGCGGTGCCTAAAAGGAACAGAAATTCTGAATGTCTTCCCATCTTAGCCCTTTTCTATGTCAACCTGTTCTCTAAGAAACAGATGAGCTGGATTCTGTCTAACCCTCTAGTACAATGGCTTCCAAAGGTTGAGGCTATAGCTGAAAGTATCTGATCCCCCAAAATCACACAAAAATCCTGAGCTCCTCATAAGCTGATGATGAACAGGAGAAATTACTAGCACTGGATACAGAAAGGGGATGATCTGCTCCCAGGATGGATCTCATGTCAGTTGAAAGGACATTGATATTGTTACTTACATCAGCCATGAATGCTGGAGGTTCATGAAAGGAACGGGAATG